ATCATCCTCATTTCGAGTCTGCCACCAAGCTTGGCGTCACCAAAGAGGTACATGCTGGTTAGGGTCATTTTCTCTCTCGCAGGCACATGGACAGCTGTGAAGTATTGCTCCATGTCCCATAGAAGTTCTCTAGTTCATTGGCACTCTGGGTCCCTCCGAAGGCCTTAGGTTCAAGGACTTTAATCATTGAAGGCGTCTCGCCCACACTAGGTCGATAATGCATGGCCCCTTTTCACTATGGTCAATTCATCTTCAAGATTCTTCAGATTGGTCTTGACAGCATCAGTAAAGGGCAGAATGTCCCTCCATCATTGTCACAATCTTAGCGTCAGTGTCTATCACGTAACTGTCAAAGGCCATTCTAAAGCCTATGATCTCTGAACAACATGTTGCTATATTTGCACAAACACACTAGTTTCAGCATCACCAGTATGGGCAACCTAGAAAATTCTCTAGATGGGTCACACATTCACATAGTTCAACAGCGTTTCCACCAGTCGTGATCGAAAACTATAGCTCTAATACCAATTGTCACGGGGGTCTCAAATTTTTACTCCAATTTTTTTGCCTCATGATGGCGCTGAGATTCCACACTCCGTCTCAGTCAAGCACATAATTGCCCACAGAAATGCACCCAATGAACATAATATGGACAAGCACACAAACTTACAACAGGCACACAAGAATTACAGGCCAAAATACTAAGCTTTTACTTCTCAGCAAGCCTAAAGGAAATCAGCTAGGGTCTGCTTACAAAACGTGGCACAAACTCTCTTAGTTGCATTGCAGACCTAAGGATGCCTACAAATAGCATACAAGTTAGTAGTTACAAGCCCAACCGCTTAGGTGATGCAAAAACAATAATTAGATTCACCCACAAAGCTTCTCATATCTTGCTGATCATGGCAGAGTCCCTTTGTCACACCCATAATGTGTTGATCATGGGAGGGTGGCAGTTGCAACTATAGGCTGACCTAGCCAGCAACTGTCATAACTAATGTGCATGTTGTGTTCACATGCCAACAATCTCCCTCACGTTGTGCACATGTTAGCAACTATACAGAACCACCCTACATGCATGCACATGCTAGCAACCTTCTGAAACTGCCACTATTTGAAGTGCACATGCCTCAACTGTTCAAAATCACCTCACATGTTGTGCATATGCGCCTTCGTGCCAAGTCATGCCAACCCATGGCTTGGTCTTCCAAACTAGAATTAGCCTACAATTCGAGCCCACTAGCTAGTCTTTCTTGCATGCTTGCTTGTGCCCAATGTGCCCATGTATGAGTTGCCTTCCTCAACTATGCATAGGGCTTCAATCAACCCCCTGATTATGCCCAACATGCCCATGCATGCTTTGCCTCCCTTAGCCATGCATGGGGCTTCTATCAACGACGGGTCCCACAGATCATCGCCCCCGTATATCGGGTTTCGGACTTTGGATTGCTCTGTCTGCACCTATGGCAAGCAGTTGTTGGGGTCGTGCCTTACTTTGATGTTCTATGGCTTATGGGCATAGGGATCCCTAGGGAAGTTGGTCTGACACCCCCCATATAATAGCGTTAGTGAGCAAAAACCTATTGACAACAACAGATATACTCTACGCCGAGGAGTCATAATAACTTGAGCCAGGGGCATAGTTGTTGCATGCCACTTGAGCCTTTGTCAAACCACTTGTAACTCTACAAAACAAACGTTCAAGTCCTTTAGGAAGCCAACTTTACACTAAGGGTTTGCTTCACTAAGCAAAACTCAATTTGGCTAAAGCATGGGTGCCTTTGGGCGAGGTAGTCACATGCCAATGCCGAGCCAAAAGCTGAGGGGGTAACAAATGCCGATTAACCAAACCCAAAAAAAAAAAAAAAAGCGGGCAGAGATTGTCAAAAAATTTGGTGATTATTTATAGTGAATATTGGGGTCAAGTCCTCTTTAAGGAACTTATAATAAATTTAATCCGTCAATGAAGTTTATTTGGGGATAAATGCATTTTGAATCTTAGTAATAAGTAATTAAGTCCACTATTTTTTTAAAAACTCTAAAACATCCTTATTATAACATTGAAAATAGTCTTCAACGTTTAAATTAGTTTCCTAATGGAAACTATTAATCCTTCATTCCCGCTCAATAGAGATATACTAGTAAAATTTTATGTATAAAATTTGAAATTAAAATTTCCCATATATAATTAAATAATAATATCTATCTTTTTTATATATAAAAAATATGTTTACAATCTCCCAATATAACTTTGGATTATTCATATATACATACATATATGTATGTATATAACTTCAGCCGATAAACTTTCCCGAACAAGATGTATTGTCGTAGGTCCCTCACCGTCGGCGCCTCTGCTAGCTGCTCCACGGCGACATTACGCTTGGCAAGTTCTGTTATCTATGGCCAACCCTACTTCTTCCTCACCATGATCTGGCCCATCTTTTTGGATTTCGAACTCCTCTCTCTAAATTTATTATCTCTAGAACACTCTCTTGTTTTACTCCATTCTTTCTTTGAGGTGGTTTGACTACTTCACATTCGTGGTCCAGGCCTACGTCTGAGCCTGAGGTGGTGGGGGGGGGGGAGTGAGTATCAAGAGTTAGTAAATGATGATTGACCGTATCTATCTTTGATGATTTCGGTTTCATGATTAAACTATTGGTACTAATTAAATGGTATTAGTGTTTTTAAAATGTTATTGTTTTTTAGTTTAAATGTTATTACTTTTGTTTGAATGTATCATCAGCTTCTCATGTTGCTTAAAAATACTCAATGTGTTATTAATTTGAACTTCAATTTTATTCAATGTTTCATGTTACTATTTTTTTATCATATTACTATTTTTTTTATTAAATATTTTTTTTTGAGTATGTTACTATTGTTATATTTTTAAATATTAATATTTAATGTTACTATTTTGTTTTGTTGAGTATGATACTGTTTTTGTTGAACATGTCATTACTGTTATTTTTCTAAATATTAATATTTCATATTACTATTTTTTTTTTATTTTTGAATGAAACTATTTTGTGTGTGTTTGAATGTTATTTTTTTTTATTTTTAATACTATATATATATATATATATATTATATATATATATATATATATATATATAGAGAGAGAGAGAGAGAGAGAGAAAGAGAGAGAGAGGACAAAGATTCAAACCCCGTTTAATTGGTTAAAGAATCTATTCACTCTCATACTTAAGTCAAGGGGACTAAGATTCAAGTAATCGTAATTTTCTATCACTCACTCAAGTTAATTGCATTTCCTCTGTTAAATCAATTTGACACTTTAATATCAGCTCTTCTCCACCTAAGATAGGCTGTACTATGTTTCAAGAAAAGGATGTTCTTACTGACTCCCTCTCTCCTTAATAGTCGAGTCTCCTTCATACTGTTTAATAACACCATTTAAAACTTAAAACTGAATATTTTAAACACTTAATAAATTAAACTCGTTTGATAATTTAAAACTCATACTACTTAATATTTTAAGCACTTCTTAAAAATAGGCTAAAATTTTAAGTAACAAGTCACTTACTTATCACTTAATGCTGAAAATGTTAATTAGTAAGGATTTTATCAATTTTTCATAATGGTCAAATATACCCTCACTACCATTGTGTCATCGCCACCACCACCACCACCATCATTGTACCACCGCCACCATTACCATCGTTGCCACCACTAACACCACCATCATTGTGTCACCACCACCACCACCATTGTTACCGTTGTGTCACCGTCACCGCCGTTGTTGCCACCGTCATCGCCGTCATCACTATTGTGTCACCATCACAATCATTACCATTATGTCATTGTCACCATCACCATTGTGTCATTGCTACCATCACCACTATCGCTGCCACCGCCACTGTCGCCGCCACCGCCACCATTGTGCCACCGTCACCACTATTACCACCACCACCACCACCATCGCTACCATTGTCACTATCATTGTCTTCCAGCCACCACCACCACTATCATTGTCGCGGCCACAGCCACCACCACCACCACCACCGTCATTACCATTACTATTATGTCATCGCCACCACCACCATTGTGCCACCACCACCACCATTGTGCCACCACCACCACCATTACCATCACCATCGTTGTCATCACCACTACCATTGTACCACTGCCGCCACCATCACCACCACCACCGTCGCTGCCACCCCTATCATCACCATTGTGATGGTGGTGATAGGAATAAGGCAGTTGCGGAGAGATGATTAAAGAGAATGAAAAAATTAGAATAATAATAATTTTTAGACTTTAGTTCCTTATATTTGTCAAACAGTTTGATTAATTCTTAAATTTCACTTGATAACAAACAGTCTGCAAATTAAAATTTCAGCATTCAAGACTCAAAATTCAGCATTCAAGTTTCAGTGTTTAGCTTTCAGTTTTATCAAACACCACTTTAAGAGTTTTAACAACTTAGCTCATCTTCAGGCATTTCGCCGTCTTGGTTAGTAAACAAGAGAGGTTGGGAACAAGAATAATTGAAGAATGAAGCAAACCATCAGTGAAGGAGAGGAACCTTCAAACTTCAAAGTAAGATCGAGGAAGAAGAAAATGTCATTTATTATAGAGTTTGTCAGAAAAAATGCATGATTTGAAAGCCCCTGAAAATGCTTGAAACAAATAGTCATATTCTATATATGGATATAAATAGATACGAAAGATGAAAAATTTTGATGTTAGTCAAATTCCTAAAATTTATGAATCGTTAGTTTTCAATTTTATTTTAATTAAATATAATTATTAGAGATATTTTAGACAATAAAAATTAAAATTGACTTAATATTAAACTAATTTTTTTAATGGATTTATGACTAAATAAGTCCACAAAAGAGCTGACTTCCAAATTTCCCTTATTTATATAGGGATATTCCTTTGAGACAACAACATCTAAACATAGAACATAGAAGTTAGAACACCCAACCTCATTATTAGACGTCCAAAACACCACCACCTTATCACTGAACCTTCACCCACACACCAGAACTTGGAATACTTGCATGCACCACGAACAACAAATAGTACCCTGGTGGTGCAATATCACGTGTTGATGGGCCAACCACAGTCAACCTATAGGCACCAGATCCACCATATGAAATCTCAACACCCTTCAGTACCACCATTCTCTGGTTCATCCCTAGTGAATGCGTAGTGAACGAAGGAGCAATAATTCTAACCGATAAGGTCCCCTTTTTTAGAAAATTTGGCACTTTGAAAGTTACCAAAAATGACTGTTTATACCCCCAAACTTCGTCTACATACACAATTCTTGGCCTTAGTGGCTCATATTCTGCTGCTAAATAAGGTGGGGAAAAGGCCTCCAAGCTTAAATCAGTAGGATATTCTACACCTGTGAAGTTGTAATAGATGTGTGGGTTGCTTCCCCCAACTAACACTCTACCATCAGTGAGTAAAATAGCTGTTGAATGGTAGAGTCTAGGCCTTAATGATGGCTGCATGACTGAAAACCGGTTATTTTCCGGCCTATCTGGCCTGTAAATCACCGGTCGTGTCACTGGGTTCCGTGCATTTCCCCAGCCGGCAGTACCAGACTCAGCGCCGTTGATGACGAGGATATCGCCGTTTGGCAGAAGAACCATGTCGCCCATCACACGTGGCGTTGGCATGGTCTCCATAGCCCAGTTAGGGTTTTCATCTGTGACCTTTAAGCGTCCGCATGTAGAACTTGCACGTATGAAACTTCCTCGCTTTGCACTTAAAAATGAATTACGAGGGGAACCACCACAAATCATGATCTCGGCTTCATGGATTCGATTTTCATCTATAGGAAGCAGAACTGAAGAACCTGAGCTAGGGTAGTTTCGAGGATCTCCTCCACTTATTTCAGGGAACTCTCTAACCACACGGTTGGTTCTATAGTCGAACAATATTGATCTTACGTTAGCGAAAACAAATAAATGTCCATTTGGTAGGAGGTGTACAAATGGGTACAAGTTGTCCTCACTATCGTCACTCGTTTCTCTTAAAAATTCCAGCCAAAAAAAGGTTCGAGAAGACGAAGAATGTTGAGAGTTTCTAGGGTAGAACTCGTAATTAAATTGTTGTCTCCCACCAATGATAATAATGCTTCTTCCATCCGGTAGTATTTGATTTGTTGCATACCATCTACGCCTCGACAGAGAATCGGGAAATTCGATCCAATCACAATTATTGTCCATGCATGGCACAAATTTACGTACAACATGATCACCGTCGTTGTACCCTCCGGTCTGAATTAGGGTTCCGTTGGAGAGGACAGCTCCGGAGGAGCACCATGTGTCGGTTTGTACCATTAATGGCCGGAAAGTGTTTGTTCTGATATCATACAGAATAGAGTGAGCCGTGCAATCTGTTTGGAGTACAGTATCAGAGGGATCAAAGCGGCATCGGCCTCCGGGAAGGGAGATATTGGAACGGCCGAAGTCCGTTCGATCAAAAATGACAACTTTGTTGTTATGCAAAAGTTGCATGTGCATGGCGGAGATGCCAATGCTAGCATGCAAGAGATGCCATTCACCTTGAATGCTAGCATATGATGAGAAAATTTGGGATCTCAATGGAGCAATGTGGATGATAAATAAAACTGACTGTAGGAAGAAGATGAAAATTTTGGTGGTCATAATGGTCAGGAGAGAGAGAGAGAAGTTTTAGAATGTCTGTTGGTGAAGTTAGTTGGTGTGTGAGAGTTTGGTGTAGTGAGGTTAAAGGAAAGTAGAAATAGTTTTATTAAGTATTAATCATGTATATGATGTGAATATTTATGGGGTTTGGAGCTGAGCTGAGCATCAAATAAGGGAGCATTCAAGAAACACATCAAAGCTCAAAGGAAGTGAGGCTAAAAATCATGTCAGATTGTGACAAAAATTGGGCTCACTTCTTCTGTAATTTTAGAATACAGTAATGCTATTGGGACATAATTTATTTATTTAATTCATTAGAATAATATTATTTGGACAGTCAATTCAAAGGTCACAGTGAATTAAGTCGGTAAATTATGTCTTAATAACATTGTTCAATTCATTATGACATTAAAATTGAGTATGAGTCTTATCAAATATTAAAATTTGATGTTGATTCAATAATTCTAATAATTCCAATCATATATTGATGGTCATAATTTATCTACCACTTCATTTTATCTCATCTACGTTGTTTTTGGTTCAAGATTTGCTTGTGCGGATCTAGTTTCTTTGTACTGATTCCATTTTTGGATAGAAGATTCATATAGAGCATTAGATTTAAAAAGGTCTACGCATCCTATCTCAACACAGTAAACTTCTAATGAATGATATTAGCCATTCAACTCGATTTTCAACATCATAATCTTTTCTCGAAGGAATAAATCTACATTGGAATCAGAAAGGTGGTTGGACGGGTACAAACAAAATACTTGAAAGTTCTAGTATTTTTTTTATGATGCACAAAATCGTGATATACAAGATTAATAGTCGAATGTGTAATAAAATGTTATTAATGAGACAATTAATAAAGTAATTAATGACAAAAAGATAAATATCAGGTCAATACATAGATATATAGTGGTTCGGTTCGATGACTTACTCCACTCCAAAAAAGGGCAACGGTAGCCGAAGAACTTTTATTAATGAATGAATAAAGTAAGAGAGAGAAAGCCCTAGAAGAGGTGTGCTCCAGAAGAGGTACAATAGTTAGGAGAGGTAAAAGCTATGTGAGGAGTGTGTATAGTGGTGTAGAGATGTATCCTCTCATGTGAAAAAGACTTACAACTTATAAGCATTGAACCTTAGTTGAGGCGGTGAAGTGAGGGTAAAAGCACTAGTCCTTCGGGAGGACAACTACAATAGGTAAGTGTAATTAACAATAGTCTTGATCTTCAAGAGTGAGTATCCCGATAATTACTCCCCACATACTCTAATCTTCTTGAACCCCTTGGACTGTGGGCTGGGTCGAATTGATGAACTGAACTTGACCTATTTTGTGGCTGATTTGGGCTCTGTTAATTAGTTGGGCCAGACCCAATAAGAATTGGGCTCGTCAATTTTCATACCAAGGAATACATTTTGTTTCACTCATGTTTTTCATATCAAAGTTACTATTCAACATTTTTTTAGTTGATTCAATGTTTGTAAGTTGGTGCCAAAGATGAAATATCATCCCCATACAACCACATAATATCATGTGCACCATAGAGACTATATATGTACCTATCACTTTCAATGGATTTAAAACCATCATAAAAATGGCCAATTTTTTCATGTCATTGTTTGGGGTTTGTTTTAATTCATAAAAATACTTGGTTGGGTTACAAACTTTGTTTTTAATTTTCAATTTGAAACCCTCTCTAAGGTTGGTCTATATATGTTTCCTTTTCTAATTCACCTTTAAGAAAAGCTCAATAAAACTGGCTTAATAGGGAGGAGTAGTTTCGTGTATGATTCTTAAGTGAAGTACAAGCACACTAACACAAGAATTAGGTCGCAACTAGGGATGTCAGTAGACCGAAGCGGGGGCGGGGAGTGTAGTCTTCATCTCTGTACCGTCCAATTCGTATAGTCCATTTTCGGTCCAAACGGGACGAATACCCGTTTTTCTCTGATCCACTACCATCCCTAGTCGCAACACGTTGAGGGTCTAATTTTTCTCTCCAATCAAGCCACACAAGTTTTGTATAAATTCTACAAAAGTTTTAGTCCTTTTCAAATGTGGAATTAAATTGTCTTACAATACAAGTTCTTTCCTTTAGTACAAAGATACTTTCAATTTTTATTGAAATATCTTAACATGACATGTTTGTTCTGTTCATTAGTTCTGGAAGGCAATTAGGGGTGGTAATTTTTGATACGACACGATAACCCGATACGAAACACTATACGAATAAATGGGTTTGGGTTGACTAAGTTTTTGACACGACCCGCGTATGACATGACCCGCCAACACGAAGTGTTAATGGGTTATATTCGGGTTCAACCTGTTTAACACGAATTGACCCGTCAACACGAAGTTTTTAATTCGAAGGAGATTGTCTTGGCCTTTTCGTTGCATGTATGAGTTTTTATGTTTTGATGACTTATTTTTTCCATTACTTCTGATGTTTAATTTAGTTGTATGATATACAATTAACATATTTAATTAGTATTATATAAATAAAATATTAATTATTTGTAACTGTTTATCAAGAATTGACATAATTATTGTATAAAAAAGATACTATTACTCATTATTGTTATTATTATTATTATTAAGTTAATTTTTAGTTTGTAGAAAAAGTATGAAGAAAGATTCAATTAAGTGAAAATAAAATCTTAGCGTTAAATTTTTTTATTCAAAGTTTATGTAGGTCAACACGAATATGAACACGAACACGACACGAAAATAAACAGGCCAACTCGACACGACACAAATAGTTAAATGGGTTGGGTATGGATTGACTAATGTTCGACACGACACGAACCTAACACAACACGACTCGATTGTCACCCCTAAAGGCAATGGTGTTACATGTATTAGCTTGCCGTGCACAAATAATCAGAAGACATTAGTGAACCCCATAACTGCCAATTGGTTCAACAAAGTCTTTGAACATCGCATTACGTAAACTATCAAGTAAAAATCATCCACCGTTTCCCAATGATTCTTCTGAGGAAGAAAGACAATGAAGGAAATCGAATGAATCTTGAAAACTCTAGCTCAAATCCGGCCCCAACATCTATCAGATTTTATTTCTCGCTATCTATTCATGTATTTGTAAGCAATCGAAATCTCCATAACACAATTAGATCTAAATTCAAACAAATGGTCGAACTCAACCCACTAACCCATCTGAAATCGAGCCAAAAGAGTTTAGCAAATAATTACAAATCTGAACCCTGGAACATAATCCTAATGTAATCAGTTTCTCAATTAAAACTTCCTAAATCTGTCATTACCTGTTAAAGAAATTCTATTGATTCAAATTTCCCATAAAACTATTAGATAAGAGATGGAGAGAAACGTGCATGCGATCAGAAACTATTTGAAAATAATTTTGGAGTTCATCAATTTTCACATTCTTCTCTCAAATTCCTCTCTCTCACCTTTTTCAACCTCCAAAAACAGCAACTGTTATCGTCCCCACCATCCACACCCTTCTCCTTCCTCTCTTTTGAGAATATCACAACAAAAAAACCACAAACTAAAGGGGGTGAATGGAATTATACTTTATCATAGATGATGAGCCAACAGTCCTTTAGCTTTTCACTTCCAACCAATTAACCCCCCCCCCCCCCCCCCCAAAGAAAAAAAAGTAACTAAAGAAGGAAAAGAAAATGTCGGAAACTAAACCCCCAACGGACCATCCCCTCCCCCCCGCCCTCCCAAAAAAAACACCTTAACCCACCAATGCTCCGTGCCCCAACACTCCCAAACTTCATCCAACTCTAAACAACCCCTAGTCAACCGAGCTCAATTCAAATAAATCGAGTTGAATTCTTTATTCTTTGGAAATCAAAAGCAAGAAAACCGGAAAATTTTGAACTGAAAGCTTTTCATGACCAATTTCTCAGCAATTAAGAAATCCAAATTGAAATTTCTACTGCCGCCCAATTTGTCAGCCACCTAAACGTCCAAATTTCGAACTTATGCTCCCAACTTATCAGCAACCAAAAAAATAACAGTATCAATTCTTCACAAATTTTGTCAAAGTGCCTTATTCCACCTGATGTTTGACCCAACACTTACACACACACACACACAAAAAACAAAAGAGAGCACACAAAAGTAAAAAGATTTTTTTTTTTGATCAAACCACAAAAGTAATAATTAAAAATCGAACTTGATGATGCACAAAAGTGGATTATGCACAATCAACAGTCAAAATATAATGATGTTGAGTAATTAATAAAGTAATTAACAATAGAAGGCAAAGAATTGGTTGTTGGGCCGAGGTAACCAAAACACTGAAGATGACAACAGTGGCCAAATAACTTTATTAATAAAATAGGAAGGGTGTGTGTGAGAGAGAGAGAGAGAGCAAATGTAAGCTCTAGGAGAGGTTAGGGTAGCTATGAGAGAGATAGTTGTGTAAAGAATCTGTAGAGAGATACCCTCTCATGTGGAGAGAACTTACAATTTATAAGCACAGAATCTTGGTTGAGGCAATGACATGAAGGATAGGTGACTAGCTTTTCGAAGAGGATAGCTACAGTTATGTATAAATAAAATTATAGATAGTCTTAATCTTTGAGAGTGATTATCCTAGTAATTACTCTTCACGTATGCTAATCTTCATAGACTCCTTGAACTTTGGACTGGAAAAATCCATGAGTTGGGCCTAACCTGCCTTGTAACTAATTTGGGCTAACTCCATAAATTGGGCTTGACTCAATTAGATCTGGACTCATCATTTGCTCCCCATGCCTTAGCCCCAGTTGTGGGGGTATGAGTGAACTCCTTTGTCTAGAAAAACAAAAGATTTCTTGATCTTCACGGTAGTAACTTCCTCAACTCCCTGCTTTGTTCGCACCGTGGGAGCTTACTTATTCATTTCAACTGAGCACCCACTGTGCTATCACCATTCTAGAGGACACTTCATCCCCTTCATATTTAAAAAAACCCTTTCTTCCACCTAGGGCACAATTTCTAGGGCTTCAAGAGGTGAACATTCATGGGGCCCCATTTTCTTTTCTTTTCCCTGAGAGTTACAAATCTTCCATTGAAGGTTGGGAATGATCGAAGGAAAAGAATTCCATGGACTGTGCTCCAGGGGAAAACCCATCGAAGAAGAGGAGAGGTGTGACCCAAAGCATCTAAGCAGGAGGAAATGACTCCGAGGTAGCAAGCCGCGAGGTGGTGTAGTAGATCAGCGACACAAGCAGGTCGTCCCAAACGCTGGGTGACGCCTTGCCTCAATCGAATTACAAGGGCTTTGATGCTTTTGATGACGTCATCAGGTCGTCCTAAACGTTGGGCGACGCCAGCAAGATGTTGGGCAGTGCCAACACTCTGGGTGACATTGGAATCGCGATGGTCACCTTCGAGATAGGGGACCTGGGCTATGATAAAACGGATAGAAGTTTGGGCGACGCCTCTGGCTTCTCAAGCGACGCTGCTGGTGGTTCTTCAGGAGGCACCATGGGGAACTTGGGCAACTTCAGCTTGTATATGATGAGTGAGAATAGGGCAACGATAGGCGACGTCGAAGCCCAGGCAAGAGGCGTCGATGCCCAGGCAGTGGGCGACGCCGAATGGGAGAGAGGCTCGCGCTAGAGCCAACGCTTGTCATACATTGGGCAAGTTGGGCGGGGCCAAGCACGCACTGAACACACTAGGCAAACGTTGGGCATGCCGGGCGACTGGTCGAGGGCAAGCATAGGTGCTGAGGTGCCGTCTACTAGAATCGCTGGCGCTAGCGCTAGAGCTAACAGACCAGACTTTGGAGGGAAACAAGGTATCACCTTTCGACTAGGTAACTTAACCTCATTTTTAACTCTTGATTACTCTTAACACCCCTTTACTTTTTGCCTCAATTCTTGTTTTGTTAGGCACCTAATCTCGTAGGGTAGTATGGCAGATATTACACATGTTTCGCACCAACGCAAAGGAACTATTGAAGGCGATGGGTCAAAGGTACCCTCTATCTTCAGTTCCATTGACTGTGATGATGACATTGCCCGCATTGTTTCCTTATTCCATGTCCCTCCTGCTCTCTTGTGTCGCCGGGCCGAACAAGATGAGCCAACATGTTTTGATTCCTTTGGAGAGATTGCTTTTTACAAGGATGTGCTAGAAGTGGGTTTGAGTTACACCCAAAGAATCATGTGGTAGTTATAGCACAGATTTGGGGTGTCAATTCTACAGAAAGACAAACTAAAAGAATAGTAGAAAAAAAAAAGAAACTAAAAAAAAAATATTAAATGATTACTCAAGAATAAAGATTAATTTTAAATGTAAATTAAAGTGAAGCAAAGTGACTAATGGAAAAGTACTCAAATTTGGCAAACAGTAAAGTGTCGGAAATCCCTTGCACCAATCTAGTATTTTAATTATTCTTAATTAATTGAATAACTCAATTGAGAATTCAATTTCAAAAATTCCCAAGTATAGATTTATAAACCAAGATTAAATCAAATGTAACCCTTAGAAAAATTATTCACCATTTTTAAAATACGTAAATTATTATTACCATTGAAAAAGTCCAACGACAACAGTATACTCAAGAAGCGATATTACAGAAAAGAATTAAATCATTATAGATCAATAATTGATCCTTACATAATCAAAGAGCCAATCCATTCAATAGAAAAAAGCATGACTGAATCCATAAACAGAATAAATTTTATGATTATTCGGAGAAGAAACATCAACAATGAATTGAGAATGATAAAACAAAAGAGTTTTAGTAATTAAAAATCAAATACATAAAAAAAAAAAAAATCATCTACTGTGCAAGTTCATCCCTCGCCTTACCTGAAAATTTAGTTACCCATAAATATAATGGACAAAAAAAATCTCCCGCAAAAATAAAGGAAAAAAAAACAGTCACCTTCTCTTTATGTCTCCAAACCCAAAAATGAAGTAAAAATTTTTCCCTCAAACTCTCCATTTCCTCATGTTTTATTCTAGTCTCTAAAGCCCAAACCGCATGTATTTTGAGAAGGATAAAGCCCAAATCTGCTGAGTGATGGGTCCCACGTGACAGTTGCATGTAGTTCCATGCTAGCTTACGCCAAATCCTCTTTAGCTTTGCTGCATCAGCTTCAGCCTTTTTAGTCCATGTGACTGCCATCAAAATAAAAACAAATAAAAGCCAAATAGTAAAGTTCTAAAAATGTTAAGTGTAAAGTCCAATTGTAAATTATCTCTCACCAACCAATAATTCAATATTTAAGATTTAAAATATTATAGAATCATGCTCAAATATATCTCAGTGTGAATAGATATTAAATTCAATAATATAAATTATATCTAATTATTTCTATTCACATTTTAATATTTTAATCTAATAATAGGGTATTTAAAATGCATTTTCACACACTCATTAATTTTTGATACCCGGGTCTATCTGTTGAATCCTGGGTCACTTGTCACTCACTCAAGGGAGTTTGACCTCGAATGGTTGGAGGGTAATCTTGGCGTTCTTTTCGCTATGGCGGCTGGTCCTCGATGCTGACGTTCCTCTTCTTTTTTAGGAGTTTTTGACCTCTTACGTACTTCTAGATAACCCTACTCCTCATCAAGGGTGGTACCACTTTGTCCCAAGGTTGGGCAAGTTTATCACAAGACTGCCTTCGAATTGCCACAGTTGAAAATCTAGGTTCTTCTTTGTCAGAGGTGAGTGGACTACTGAGGAAGACTGTGACCTAATGCCTTCGGGTGGGACATTGCTCTAAAGGCCAAGCTAGGTAAGGATTTTACCTTTACTTTTACATCTGATTGTCATGTCCCTGTACTTACCTGTACTACTGCATGTTTGATTTCTTCGTAACCCCACCCACGTTATCTACAGAGCATGAAAGTAGGTTGCAGGTCGTGTGGGATCATCCTTTCAAGGAGTATCCAGCCATCATGTTCGAATCACCTAATCTGAGAGCCCCCCTATGCAGAAGAGGAAAGGTATTTGATCCTTCCAATAGACTTTTAATGGTTGTGACTTTGTAGGCTCTTCATCTAACACTAGTTCCACAGGTCCTAGTGTTAATAGAGCGATGGTAGACGCTCTTTATACCTCCAAGGTGGCGTCTTTCCCTCCTCTCAAGAGGGCAAAGACCAATGCCCTTAGTGCCTCTCGGCAATCTAACAGTCATGTTATATCCCTGGAGGATAGATCAGAGGGTGCTCCCATTCCTTCTTAGCACATAGCTCTTTCAAGTGTTAAGGTTAGTCTGACTACTACCTCAGGTGCCAAGACTCCTATGAGGTCGTCTACCGTGTTCAAAGTTCCATGTAGTCGTCTAGCTTCTAGTAGTGACTTAGTGTCCATGCTACAAGATATGAATCTGACCAAGGAACGACTTTTGGGGTTTGTGACTGCCACAGATATCAGATAGGTCGGTTCTCGCGATCCAAAGGGCATCATCAACATCGCGATAGAAGGGTTTGTCATGGTATGCCTTTCATTCAATTTTGATTTTGTACCCGCCTCCTTTTTCTCTTGTCTTGCTTTTTTGAATGTTTATAGGTGGCTATCACTTTTCTATGCCTTTTTTCAAGGATGATCAATCTTGGAGAAACATTCAGGGATCTGGCACAAGAGAGGCAAGTACGTGAGGCTATTAAAGAGTAGTTAGTGCTTGAGAGGAATGCCCAAAAGGCTTCCAAGGAGCGAGTTGCAACTCTTGAGACCAAGCTTCTATAGTCTCGTGAGAGGGCCGCCTAACTGGAGGTTGATAGAAAGGTTGCCTACGCGAGAGCAGTGACAGAGCTGCAAGCATCCCATGAAAGGGCCGCTAAAGTAGAGGCCAAGCTACAGATAGCTCATTAGGGCTATTGTGGTAGTGACAGACTGCGAGCAGCTCTTGAGAGAGCTACCAGTGCAGAGACTCACCCCATTAAGAAGGAGAAGAGGAGGGATGTTGCTGAGAGGGCCGTTGCAAGTGTCTTCATTGATGATTATGAGGAGCTCAAGGGAAAGATCTCAGTAGTTTTTCCTGCCATTGATTTTTTGGATTTGTCCCCTATGAGGCTCCAAGGATTGATGGCGATGAGAAGAGCTTTGATGAGAGTGAATCGGGGAATAGTGAGTGCTGACAAGAGTATTTTTATCTACATGTTTCTCTTTTTATTGCTAGGTTATGTTCTATCTTTTGTAAATGGTTTATGAACTTCTACGAAATGAGAGACAGTTTTTGAAAAAGGCAATCTTGCAAAATTTTATTTCATAATTTGAAGTAGATAACAACAAGAATTGACTAAAACAACAAGAGATATTTTAAATGACGACTATTGATTTTTACACCCACTAACTCGCATTCCATGAATGGGCCAGGGCTTTTCCTCAAGAGTTCTGAATTCTGTAGGTGTCCGGTGTTACAACTTCTATAACCATGTAGGGTCCTTCCTAATTAGGGCCTAACTTCCCTTCCTGAGAGTCCTTGGTAGATAGGATGACCTTTTTGAGGACTAGGTCCTCAGGCAAGAAGGAGTGAGGCTTCACCCTCGAGTTGTAGTACTTAGTCATGAGACGCTTGTACTCCGCATTCTTGAGCATAGTCATCTCCCTCTCCTCCTCTACCAAATTGAGGTTGATTCGGAGGCCTTCTTCATTAGTGGTAGAGTTATAGTGTTGGACCCTAAGGGAGTGTACCCAATTTTGACCGGTATGACTACCTCTGTCTCATAGGATAAGGAGAAAGGGGTCTCTCTCGTAGGGATTCTTGGAGTTGTCCAGTAAACTTATAGTACTCTTGGGATCTCATCCACCCATTGCCCCTTGGCACTTTCCAATCTGATCTTCAAGTTGTGAAGGATGGTTCTGACAATGACTTTCACCTGCCCGTTTGCTTGTGGATGGGCTGGGTTGGAGTGGGGTTGCTTGATTTGTAGGTCTGCGCAAAATCTATTAAGGAGTTTGTTGTCAAACTGTTTGGGATTATTACTTACTATGGCATAAGGTACTCTGAAACGGCAAACTATGCTCTTCCAGAGGAAGTCTTTCAACTTCTAGTCTGTTATCTTGACTAAGGCCTCGACTTCTACCTACTTTGTGAAGTAATGAATGGCTACTATCACAAATTTGTACTAGCCCCGACTCATGGGTAAGGAGACCTGGGATATCGATCCCCCACATGGAGAAAGGCCATGGGTTTAGGATGGTGGTGAGCTCTTCTAGTGGTTGTCTAAACACTGTTGCAAAGTATTGGCACTTGTCACATTTCCTCACAAACTCATGAGCGCCTCTGATCATGCTAGGCTAGTAATAGCCTTGTGTTACTGCCTTGTGAGCTAATGCATGCCCTCTTGAGTGGTTTCTACATATCCCCTTGTGAATTTCTCTCATGGCATAATTGGTTTCCTTAGGGGAGAGGCAGCAGAGTAAGGGAAATGAGTAACTTTTCTTGTAAAGAGTGTCACGCAGGATGACATACCTAGATGCTCTCATTTTTAACTTTTTAGCTTCCACTAGATTCTCTGGGAAAGCGTCTTCTTCTAGGTGGGTTCAAATATGTGTCATCTAATTGGCTTCAAAGGATGAACAATTAACATCGTCCTCTTCTGCCTTGAGCTTGCTTGGCTTAAACTAGTGGCCTATCAATGTTGGGCCCATGAGT